GGTGTTCGTCCTGAGGCCCTGCATGGCAAGCTGTGCCTCTTGTTTCTAGGGGAACTGGGAGTACCATTAAACTTTCCTTTCAATGGCCTTGACCTCTCCGTGTTGTCGGTCACCTTTATAAATTAAGATCTGGGCACAAAACAACATGAGCATCTGAGGAAATGGTATTAGAGACTCCTCCTTAGCCACATATTCCCAAAGAACTTGGGTCCGCAGGCTTTAGTAATAAGTTAGGGCCCAGCCCAAGTCATACAAATAAAATCTAAAGAAAAAACGGTCATGATTTCATTTCAAAGTTTATGATTAGAGTACCATATTCTGAAATGCTGAATCCATGAGTCAGAAAACAGAAAAATATAACATGCTGTTGCTACTGGTCCCCAACCCTGCAGAATCACTAGCTGGAATGTAAAATAAAGACAATAGGGTGTGATTAAGTGGGATCACTGAAAATTGATTTTTTCATGCTCTGAAGTACTGAGACTGAGTCCTAGCAAACGATTACCAATAACTCAACAGGTATTTATTACACAACAGCTACGTACGCAGGGTGCTTTTTCCTTCCAATTATTTTTTTCATTTTTGTAAGCTATACTTTAAAGGCTTCATCATTATGACGCTGGAAGAAACATGACATTTTCCCATGAAACTAAGATGCAATGAACAAATACCGTAAAATCATGGATGGAAGTATCTTACACAAATGTTTTACTGCCAATTGTGAAAAATGACTATCACTCAGAGACTACAAATTCATTGTTATATTTTAATCCACTTTTAAAAAGTTGTTTCCATCCATCTAAATATGGCCGCAATGGCATTTTTCTCCACATCATTTTTCTCAATATTTTCAGGGGATCTTTCAAGAGGTTGAGGGAAAAAGTATGGGAAACAAAGACAATAACAGTTTCTGCAAAGAATCATATACGAAACATCTCTACACTTACGGAGGGAAATATAAGAGCACCTCAGAGCTTAGGGGGATATCAGTATATTAAAACTTTTTAACCGTGGCAAAGCCTGTGGTTTTCAAACATCAGCGTGCACCCGAGTCCCCTGGAGGGCTTGTGAAAGATGGCTGGCCCACCCTCAGAGTCCGATTCTGCAGGCCTGGTGGGGCGAGAATGTACTGATGCTGTCATTCTAGGGACCCTAGCACCCCTGCTTTAAGCATCTCCCGTTCTCTTTCCCTTGCCTTCCCACTTCTGGACCTTGCCAAGACTGCTTTCCTTGGTGAACATCTTCAGGATTGGCCCCATTCTTCAATACTATGCTTGAAAATTTTTTATTCCCCTAATCTGGCAATTTTACCAAGTACTGATTATGTCTATTTGCAATGGTAGGAAAATTTCTTCTTTTGGCCATATATTTGTTTTGCTGGACTTGTTATAAACCTTATAATCCGCACTCTTCAGCTACATTACTCACTTCCCTTGTTTCTTTTTCATGTTGCTGTTTCCAGGCATTTGATGTTCATCGGTTTTGTGATCTTAATGTGGGTGAAAGCATCTCTGGACCACTTGCGTTTACTGCTAATAGCAGAACCCACCAATTGCCTCACATTTTCCTTCTGTACCTATTTTCTGATGGGGCAGGAACCCATCCTGATTGCTGTTACCATCAGTGACTCCACTAACTGTCATGACTAGAGAGGGAAATAAGGAAATTCTGACAAGTAAAATGGGCAGCTCGAACATTAACAAAGGAAGCAGCTGACAGCAAGAGCAGACTGTTGCTACCATCCTTCCCGCCATCCCACGAACCATGACACATCCTGTAAGCCATGCCCCAACCAGACTGCATCCACAGCTGCTAGAGAAAACCACTCTGTTCTCATCCCAGCCCAGATAAGGTTCACCAGACATACAAAACACTGAACACGGCATCTAACGCTGAGATTTCTATACAGCCTTCTCCCCAGGAAACAAAAAGCGTGTGGCTCTGAACCATGGTAATGAAGCCAAAATAAAGCAAAGACCTGAAATGAATCATGCATCACCAGGAGCCTTCGCCTGGAGCCAAAGTGGAGAACCCATCACATCAGCAATGACAGCGGCAGCCTCGCTCCTCTCTCACAACACTTGACAACTTGTTCAGCTCTAAGTGACCTCTGTGATAACTCTGCTCCTTTACGTCGCAGCATGAGAACTTGCCATGCTGTGGTCTAGATTGTGTTTTTGATTCCAAAATGCAAAGACATATCAGATTCATCTGTTTGGGATTCATAAATAGTTTAATTGCCTGTCCTAGGTGTTGAGCTTTACTTAGCAAAGGATGCTACAAGCATCAGAGATTAAGAAGCTTTATTTCAGCTTATGGTCATTTTTGTTGCCAAAAGGGCCTTGTTTGCAGCCTGTTTCATAGCCCAGCAAAAAAATGTCTTATGAAATTTTCAACTGCATTTTATTTCTAAAGAATTCAAGACTAAATGTGGCCTATTTATCAAGCACACCCATTCCATAAAGATCATACTCTCTGTCTCCCAAATTTGGCACTATGTAAAGAGCTACTAACTTCCTATTCCGAACAGTTCTTACCAAAAAGCAAAACAAGAGTTCTGATGCAAATGAAGAGCTCCCTTTAAAATACTGCATCTAAAAAGTAATCTCAAATTCCCTTAAGCTCATAAGCAAAACTAACTTTTACGAATGATGCTCATGCAAGTAGATAATGGTTTGACTTCCATCCATTGTGGAAAATACACAAGATTAGGATTCAGACAGGAAGACTGTGTGGCCAGCTGGGATAAATCAGAACCCTGAAATAAGTAAGAATTGTGGAACTCAGCTTCAGTTATTATTTTTGTGCAGAACAAATACATGTGAAGCTCAATGATTATCCTCAAAGGAAGTCATACTACCCGAGTTTTCTGAATAGATTACAAAACCTGATTTTGAAATTACATCTTTTGTTGAAAGGCAACAGATTTTTCTTAATTTATGACATTACACACTTTGCTGTATAAAAAGGAAATTTAAAATTTAAGATTCAAATTACACTCGATTCTAAGGTTATTCCTCTGGAATTAATTCATACAAAAAAACAGCAGAATAAGTTGTTAATAATTCTGTAAGCATGCTCACGCAGCAGCTTAAAATGACAAGCACGGTTTACAACCTTGTGTTGGAAAGTATTTGTGTGCTTAACGGCTATTCTCTTAGGTAATTAATTTTGTTCCCCACTTATTACAGGTAGATATGGCATTTTGGGGTGATCCCTGTTGAAAGTATTCACAACATGCAGAAAAGCATGCCCAAGAAAGATGATAAACATTCACGGCATACTGTTTCAAAAATATGGGTCTCAGAGTGACTCAGGTCTATCAATGAAAAACAAGATTATAACCCAGGGCAGAGAAAGTGCAAGTCTGGGATTTCAGTCTTGGCTTGATTATGTGATTTTGGGCAAGTCACTACACTCTGTGACTGTTCTTGTCTCTGTAAAGTGGCTCCAGTCACCTATCTTTATATCATAGAGATGTTTAAAATGTAAATAAAGTTGTATATATAAATTGTTTTTCATCACAGGTAGAAAGGAGAACTATTAGGCAACATGTCTTGAAGAAAAGATGCTACCTAAACTGCAGAGGTCTTAACAAGCCATGAACACAGACAGGACCAATCTCTGCATGAGCCACAGAGCTTTATGCAAAGATAACAAAATTATGTCCATGGGTTTCTCTCTTAAATCCAAAAATTACGTTAGAAATGTGTGCCTCAGGACACCATGGGGACTAGGTAAGAAAGCACATAGACAGCAAAACCTGCCTTCATCACTAAAACAATTCAGTAGTGCCATTCTATGTTCAACAGACATGATATTTTCTATATTGCTGGGTGCAGCCCACAGGGAAGGGAAGTACATGCACTATGACATGAGAACCAGGGTGGCTCCCAGGGATGTGGGCTGGCTTTAGCACTACTCCTCACCCCATAACCTCCATCTGCCCCTCCCTCCACCCGATTCCTTCTTAAGGACAACTGACATGTTCTCAGTCCTACACAAAATGCCATGTAAACATAGCTTCAAGTCCCCCTTTCCAAATAGACTCACACCCACCCACTGACAAGGGAATTCTGGAGCTAGCACTGATAAGGACAATAGGGAACACAACAGAGCAGCTCACCACTACATTCTGTGGGAGAAAAAGGGATAACTCGGCTTCAAGGAAAAGAGGCTCTGTCCTACTCAGCACCTATTTAAGCAGAGAAAATAACCAAGCGCAGGAGTAGGAGTTCCTCTAGCACATTACCAGAGCAGCGGGCATCTAGAGAACAGCTTCTATACATTTCAGAGTAAAAGCACTCAATTCGTACAAAAAAAAGCCCTTCTGTCAACCAGGCCCCTGGATGACAGACACTCTTGATAATACTTTTTCAGAAAGAGTGGCTTTTCTCCAGCAGCTCTAGGCAGTCACTTATTCCTCATTTTGACAAAATAGCATCCAACTTCAGGCATGGCTGTATATATAACTCTACAGGCAGCTGAGCCATCATAAACACGCCAAGTATAAAGGCATGTCAAAAAGACATTTTTCCTCCCCAAAGCATGGCCCCCGAAGCCATTATTATAATAGAGTATGAATTTCTGCTGTAGGTTACTGACCTATAATACTAACAATAAAAGTCCCGGTTAGTACATAAAGGCTTACACTGCAACATGAAGTATTAAGACACAATCCACTGACTATTTTAAGTTTGCTGTACACCTAAACCACCGTCTTCATTCCACCAATCTGTATATATATTACAGTAGGTCCTCTTTTGGTAGAATATGAACTTTGGAGAAGAGGCAAAGTACAGCGCAGCTGCTGGCGACCCCATTAGACCACCTAGAAAAATGAAAGGAGTTCCCAAGGCCCATGCTGCTGGTGTCTCTTCTGAGGCTCCAAATTGAGAACTTGGTGGATTTATCTCATTGGTACTCTGAGTCTATCAAGACCAGGCTCAAAGGCAAGTCTTACCTCCCGCAAACAATCCCACACACAGGTCTTAACTCAGTGTTTAAATTTGTCTGGAACTGGCGGCAAATGTGGGATTTCCCCAAATGATATTAAAAGCTCTACACAAAAAATACGCAAAAGCAGTTACTAGCTTTTCAAGAAAAAAGACCTACCTGCAAAAAACCAACAGCTCGGTAAACGGAGCTGCAGGTAACTGCTGGGACAGCAATAGCAATGTAACAAATATAGCATAGGATGACTTTTTTTTACAAAAATTGCTGCCCCAACACTTTACAATTTAAAAAAAAAAAAACAGATTTCCACAACATGATCTTCTAAGAGAAAGAGTCCACTGCTTTGTCTGAAGAGGAGTCAGTCCTGGCGGTGAAAGGACTGGGAATGTCAATTAAGATATGCAAGACTATATAACATAAAGTCTAATATTTGTTTCAACAACACCCAGTTGGCTCCCGGCGGCTGAAATACTGCTCTCTAGCTGTATCCGGGGCTCTTTTCTTGTGGCATTTTAAAAAACGTAGCTGCAGCTGAGTCAGTGGCTTTCTCCGCGACAGAGGTCCTGACCAACCACTCAGAGTTTGCAGACTTCTGGGCCTGCGATGCCAGTGTGGTGGGCTCCGTTGCATCCATATGAACTGGTAAGGTTGTTACAATAAAAGTAAAGAGGAAAAAAATCAAGGAAGACAAATTAGAATGAGAAATACGTCAGTGCAAAATTTTCTTAATCCTTATATTTTATGTCCTATTAACCAAAGTGGTCACATCAAGTTTCTCTTTTTTGTTTACAAAAAATTAAAGGCAAGATTTAAGTAAGATAAGTATTTCTCCCCTTGAGAAAATGGGTTTAACTGAACAAATGAAGAAATTCAGGAGCACAAATTCATAATGTAGTGGTAATCACTTATTAAGCATTTCTGTGCCAGGCACTGTACTACGTAAACACTGCACACTCATAATCTTATTTCTTAACACAAATTCTTAAAAGTAGGTATTGTCATCCCCAAGAAAACTGAGGCATAGAGAGAGCAGATAAATTGCTAAGGGACACAACAGAGCTGGTTAAGTAGCACGATTCAAACTCAGATACTAGACTCAAGCCCTGTGCTCTTTCTATCACACCCCAGGCCTCCAAAATGACAGTGTCACTAATAAATATTGAACAATAAGGAAAATGGTAGAAAAATCATACAATCAGGCCCATTGCTTTTCAACAAGGACACTAAAGACATTCTGGAAATGGTAACCATTGCTTGTGCAGGGCTGTCCTGTGTATTTGAGGACACTTACCATTCTGGACCCTATCTAATGAATGCCAAAAGCACTCCCAGTAATTGCGACAACTAAACACTGTCCTCACATTTCCAAATGCCCCCTCAGCAGAGTAGTACTAACCACCATCCTACTCTGTTGAAAATGAATATACACTAAAATAGAACAAAATCCAGAAAAGTTTCGTTTTTACCCTGTCACTCAATAATTCCACTCCCAGGAATGTGACCTAGAACAGCAATTTTCAAATTGTGGGTCACAAAACCAATTTAGTGGGTCATGACTAGTACATTTTTTTTCTTAATGAAAAATAATAGAAAATATCAGAGCACACCCAAGGGTTTATTTCAGATTTACACATACACCCAATACACAGTCAAACATGAATTTCTTACTGTGAGTTATCATAAAAAAAATCTTGAAAACTATTACTCTATGGCACATATACAAGAGTTTCTTGAGGGTAATGGCTTTCAAATGGTTTAGAACCTCAATCACAGCAGCAAAAAATACATTTGACATCACAATCCAAATCTCTCTCTCACACACATATACATGCACACACATGCTCGTTCACTTGTATCTGACTGACAAGAAATTTCACAAAACTATACCTACCATTATCACATGGTCATCAACCACAGTGAGAAATACCTACCCTAGAAAAACTTTTTTTTGCTATATATTTTTTATTATCATAAAATACACATAAAATTAACCATTTTAGTAAATTTTTTTTTTTTTGTAAGGATGATCAGCCCTGAGCTAACATCTGCCAATCCTCCTCTTCTTTTGCTGAGGAAGACTGGCCCTGGGCTAACATCCATGCCCATCTTCCTCCAATTTATATGGAACGCCGCCACAGCATGGCTTGCCAAGCGGTGTGTCGGTGCGCGCCCGGGATCCGAACCGGCGAACCCCGGGCCGCCGCAGCGGAATGCACGCACCCAACCCCCTGCGCCACCAGGCTGGCCCCCATTTTAGTAATTTTTAAGTGTACAGTTCAGTGGCATTAAGTAAATTCACACTGTTGCACAACCATCACCACCATCCATCTCTAGAACTTTTTCATCATCCCAAATGGAAACTCTGTCCCATTAAATAATTCCCCATTCTCTTCCTCCCCAAGTCCCTGGCAACCACCATTCTACTTTCTGTTTCTATGAATTTGACTATTCTAGGTACCTCACATAAGTGGAATCATACAGTATTTGTCCTTTTGTGTCTGGCGTATTTCACTTAGCATATTGCCTTTATCCATGTTGTAACATGTCTCAGAATTTCATTCTGAATAATGAAGGCTTTCGGGCTAAAAAATATTCTATTGTATGTGTATATAACATTTTGTTTATCCATTCCTCCAGTGATGGACATTTGGGTTGTTTCCACTTTTTGGCTATTGTGAATAATGCTGCCATGAACACGGGTGTACAAATATCTGTCTGAATTCCTGCTTTCAGTTCTTTTGGGTATACACTCAGAAGCAGAATTTCTGGATCATATGGCAGTTTTATGTCTAAATTTTTGGGGAGGCACCATACCGCTTCCCATAGCAGCTATACTACTTTACATTCCCGACAGCAATGCACAACGGTTCCAATTTCCCCACATCCTTCTCAACAGATGTTGTTTCCTGTATTTTTTGTATTGCCATCCTAAGAGTGTGAAGTGGCTCAGACAAACTTTGGCACTTGTTCTCCTAGAGAACATTACAGTATTTTTCACAATAGCATGCAATGGGATACAATCCAAATGTCCATCAAGAATACCTAATTGTAGTATATTCATCATATTCATACAATGGAATACCATATTTATGGCAGTAAAAAATGAATGGATTTTGGCAGGACAAAACATGAATGAATCTCAAGAACATAATTGGTAAAATTTGTAACTTATAAAATATGATATTCGGTTTATACAAGGTTCAAAAACATGTAAAACTAGACAATATATTGCTTAGAGATAGATATGTCTATTAAAACTATTTAAAAAAAGCAAAGAATGATAAATGATTAACAAAAAAAATATATCAGGATAATGGTTACCTCTGAGGAGAGTGGGAAGAAGATTTTAAAAGTAATCTTCTTCTTCTTAAAGTAGATGTGGGTACACGGATATTTGCTGTATTGTTTTTCTTTACATCTTACATATCTTCTACAAATGTTCCTTTATAGCCATTCAATTTTTACTTAAAAAACACTTTTTTTTGCTGAGGAAGATTAGCCCTGAGCTAACATCTGTTGCCAATTTTCCTCGTTTTTTTGCTTGAGGAAGATTAGCCCTAAGCTAACACCTGTGCCAATCTTCCTCTACTTTATATGTGGGTCGCCACCACAGTGTGGCTGACGAGTGGTGTATATCTGCACCCGGGATCCAAACCCACACACCCAGGCCACCGAAGTGGAACGCGCCGAACTTAACCACTACACCACAGGGCTGGCCCCTTAGAAAAACATTTTTAACTTTAAAAAATAATTTAAACTTTAAAAAGGCATAGTGGGCAATAAGAACCTGCCCCATGACCCCTGAGACAAGGGCCATCCTAAAGTGGAACTCCTGAATCCAATCTCAGGGTTAGAATAATATTGAGAATAACACTGTTTCAACTTTAAGATTCTATTCACTTATTCATACAACAAATATCTAGTAAAATCATTCTATGTGTTGAGCATTATCTTAGACGCTCGGAGCACAAGAGGGAGCAAAACAGATACAAATTCCTGCCCTTGAGAATGCATCATTAGCATCACTGGCTTGGTATTCAGAATCTGATGTACCTAATTAACAGGTTAACAGTTGGTTACCCTTCCGACTGATGCTCTAAGGACACACGTCCTATCCCAGGGAAAGAAAGGTCCGAAAAGGCTTTGGAGTGGCCAAAATAGTCAGGGCTCTGAATAGAACATCTTATTATCCCAATTCTCCTTTATCTAAAGCCATGTGTTTATTTTTTGAAGGAATGGGTTTTGTACACCAAAAGTTCTGATCTGCCATTTTAATGAAGAAAATCATCTCAAGGAAATGAACTCTGGTTTTCATCTGAGTTCCTTATGTTTTTTATAGATACTTAGTCTCAAATTTTGAAGAAAATAACCCTTTTTTTCTTTTCCAGTTACATTCTTTAAGAACACACACAGCTAGTTCACTTCAGCATGAGGTAGAGACTTGCTGGGCATTCCTGTCTGGTGTCTTGGACTTAGAGGCAGGTTACATGGTTACTCACTAAGATCCAGGGGCGGCTCTGTGCACCAGACACCTGTATGTTATAAAGCCATAAAGGGAAAGGGGCTGGAAAATAAAGAAAATAAAGGTGCTACACTTTCAAGAAGGGTCTACTTAACAACCCTATGAAAAGGTCCTTTTCCCTGGCCTTTGTTAATATTAATACAAAAAGACGGGAAGGCATGCTATTCCTTCCTGCTCTTGCCTTCTCTAGCATTATTAATATCTTTAAATTCAGTCAATTTCAACTCAAAACTTTCCACCAGTGGGGGAGGGGAAAAGGGAAAAGATTGTGGCTGCATGTTTAAGAAAGAAGCTGAATTCATCACAGTGACAGGGGAGAGTGTTGGCAGAGATCTGAGCTATTTATTCTTTTAGGAAAATCCTATAAAGAATGACACAAGGAAGCCTCTATCTGCAGTCTTGTTCATCACACTGGTGAAGAGTCCGATAACAGATGTATGCAGCAGCGTGATTTAGTGCCAAGAGCTGGCCCCTGATGTGTATTAATACAGCGGCAAAGCGGAACGCACCTCTCTTCATCACTCATTTCTATAAAAGAGGTGGAATCCGAGATGGCCCGATGTTAGGCAGAGCAAGCCCATTTGTTCTACTGACTGATGGCGTGGGCTCGGGCTATGTCCTTCACCTCCACGGGGCACTCAGGTTGTGGATAGAAAAAAAAGAAAATGTTCCGTGAAGTAGGTCTTAGTCAACAAGTGAGAGGAGGAGTTGGGCTCAGTTGGGGAAATATTTAATGCTCAAGTCTTGTTTAATACCTCCCGGTAGCTTTCCCAATTTGAATATGGAAAAGGATTTTAAACTCTTCTCAACATTTCTTCTCTTATAAACAATTAAAAGCTAAAAATAGAAGCTAGACATTACAGAGAAAAAAAGAACAAAAAGATAAAAGAGGGGAGAACGTGTTTTAAGGCTTCCCATACTATAGCCTGGATGAGGATCTGGGTTTTGATGTAGAGTCATAGCATGGAACTGTTCCTATTGTATGAACCATTCCGTTCGTATAAAAGAGAACCGCTACAGTGTTTAAGAGGACAGTTCTAGAGTCATAAGTAAATTGCTCTGATCTCGGCTCTGCAATTTATCAACCATGTTACCTGAGGGAAGTGACAACCTCTCTAAGCCTCTATTTTCTCACGTGTAAATTGGGAATAAAAACAGCATCTACCTTATAAAGTTATTGCAAAGACTAAGTGAAATAATGCATGCAAAGTGTTCATCTCAGGGCATGGCCATGTGGAAATCACTAAAAAAATTTACTATAACCATCAGACCTCTGATTGTCCAGTATGAATCATTATCAAGCAGCCATTCCAAACAGAAGCTCAAAAAGGTCAATTTCAGAGTATGCTGAAACTTACTAAGTAAAGGTAGGGGGGACAGAGTTCTCTACCTGTCTGAAGTCTACTCTACTCAGCTATCAACTGCTCCGATCTATATAATATAGAGTATTTTCTGAACAAGATAAAATAATCTATGATATACTCAATCCCCTCAGAGTGAATTCACCATCATCAAGAAAATAACCATTTCTGACAGGTCCTAAAAACAGATACGATCTATTTATCCAGAACAATTCACCCTAAATTATAATGAAATAACAAAAGGGATTTCCTATGACTACTAGTTATATTTAACTATGTTCTCTTAACTCCAAAGAAAAATATCTATAGACATCCAATATTTCTGCTGATACAAATACATAACTACCCTCCCTTTTTTTTCATTTAAGAATAACATATATAATAGTAAAGTACATAAATCATAAATGTACAGCTCAATGAATCTTTACATGTGTATATACTCATGTAATACCCACCCAGTTCACGATATACAGCATTTCCAGCACCCCCGGAAGATTTCTTCACGTCCTCTCCCCGGTCACTACCCTCAGCCAAATATAACCACTATTTTGGTTTCTACCAACTAGTTTTGCCCAGAAAACTAAAGGTTTTAACTTGAAAAATTTGTTTTAATTAGAAATTTCATGACTGGTAAAATATTAGCACTCTACTATACATAAAACAGTGAGAATGTATTGTACTGTAAACCAAATAAGAAAGAAAATAAACTCAGGTGTCTCCTAGGCTACTGACTCAACTGCCACCCTAACAGGATTTTCATTCAACATGGACTTAACTTAATTTCCTGTCTGTGTCAGAACAAAAGCACAGATGACTCAAGATTGTTGATGGTGGAATACAGGGATTCAAACTCAAGAAAGTCATGTGACACAGTGAAAAAGCACAGACTTCAGGGTCAGAGAGAACTAGGTTTGAATTCTCAAAATGTGTGACCTTGGACAAATTATTTCTCACATTCTCAGTTTTCCCATGTAAAATGGGAATAAAATGACCTACCTTATCATAAATGTTAGATGAAAAGGTCTACAAAACATGAAATTTACTGCCTTACACACACTAGGTGCTCAAGACATGATAACTACAAATAATTACCTGTGTTTGGGCTAGACAGAGAGGCTGTGGCCACAGGTTTCCGTTTCCTCTTTATGTCACGTGAACATGGGGGTCCCAAGTGTATGCTTGCCTGTCTGCAGACATGAGAAAGAAAAAATATTGTTTTAACTTTGTAATTCTTATTGTAAGACCTTATGTTCAGCTCAGATGAAATCGTTGACCCATTACAGACATATACTAAGAAAATGGGCACCGTCCTTTGCTATGAAGTTTCAATACAAGATTAGTCAGAGTTATTCATAACTTACTCTTTATAAACAATATGTATCCATTCTAAACTTTTTACCTGAATGCAGAATAGCAGGCATTCAAGATTAATTTTAATAAATATGTGTTTCATTACATACTTATATTTATACAATTATTTTTCATAAAAACTATAACCACAATTGTTCTAAACTCACTAATGAAATACCTACTCCCAAATGGCAATATATTGAAAAGTTTAATGCTGCAGGAACACAGATATTTGCATAGAATTTTAATAGAAAGTTTAACTCTTCTATCACTATAAATCTAGATTTTTAATAGTGTTTGTATCACCAGTTAAATAAGTTTGGTTCTGTGATTTTTAAAAATATTAATTATGTGCCAATAATAGGTTCCCTCATCTGAATATTCAGCTTATTTTAAAAAAACAAACAAATAGTGAGAGCTTCAAAACTAGAAAAGCAGAAGATTCTCTGAAAGACAATGGACTTAACACTGAAATAGCTGGTATGCTATTTTAGTTTCCCACTTCCTCCTTCCTCTCAAACTAGACAGATCGTACCCCTGAGTAAGGACCAAGCTGAGTCTCACCTTTACACAAAGCTTCCCTTGAACATTCAAGGCCTTATCTACATGAATCATTATCTAACTGGTGTATATATATCTTGTTTCCCTAATGAAGCTTAATCTCCTTGAGAACAGGGACCATATTTATATTTCTTTCTCAATTTTCCAATGATTTACCAACCTCAGCACAAGGCACATAGCGGATCTCCATTAAATATGTTAACTAGAACTGATAAAAATGAATAAAAGTTCTAAAAACCAAATAGCCACTGTACACTTAAAAGTGGTTAAAATGGTACATTTTATGTTGTGTATATCTTACCACAATTTTTAAAAATAGCCAGAGGACACAAAATATAAAAAGGAATATAGTAAAATTATACCAGATGAACTCCTAATTGGTAGTCCTAGCTGGGGATCAAGGCTCATGGCTTAGTAGTCTTAAAGCAGGACTCTCAGTCAAATCTAAGAGAACCTAGTTAGCAAGGCAACAAGACAAATGTTGAACGGGCAAATTTTTCTATTCAGAGGGCCACAATGTGGCAAATTCCATAGTTTAAAAGTATATGCATATGCTTGCTCTCGTTCTCTCTCCCTCTCTCTCTCACACACACACACACACACAAACACACACACACACACACACACACACACACACACACACACATACTCTTTTCTCCAAAGAGGAAAGGCTTAAGAGTCAATTCAATTTATAAATAAAATAGAGGAATTTGACTGAAATCATCAGAAATTTTTTAGAATGCAAAGAACACTACAATATGCAGAGATTTACAATATAAAGCCTATGGTTTAGAAAATTCCATCCAAGTCACCTTTTATTGATCACTCTCTTCTATACGGGAAAAGAGTTAACTTTAGGTTAAGTACCTCATGAATAGTTAATTCTGAAACCCCAAAATGAAATATAAGTATAAATGTATACAGCAGAGAAAACAATTCATTGTTCATACCTTACAGAAGTCCAGGGAATAGTCTAAATCAGCATGCTGATTTAATAATAAGAAACATAGATGACAGAATGTCAAAGGGAGACAGGCTTCAGTCTAAATGCAGAGGTGGTAATTCCCTTTGAAGCCAAAGACACAGGCAGAAAAGAAAGTGACACTACAAAATTTTGTTTCTCGTCAAAACAGAGAAATGTACAGAACAGAGCTTCTACCTTTTCCACAAACGAGGCACCTGAGTACATACAGACCTGAACTCACACCGTCCAAATACTCTGCTCTAATTCAGCCACGCTTCTCCTGAAGCACTTCAGAAAGAGAAACCAGTCAAACCAAGGCAACAGTTATATTCAAGCTCCTTTCTTCTTCACCGGAAGCCCATTAAAGGACTCCCCAAAACTTTTTAGACTAAATGTTAACACCATTTCTTCAAACTAAACTACGTGATTAGATGTCAGGAGAGTGGTTACCCTGCAGCTGCGGGGAGTGGGGAGGAGGGACAGTGACTAGGAAAGGCACAGGGAGCTTCTGGGATTCTTTCTGGTAACTTTCTGTTCTGGATCTAGAGGGTGGGTACTTGGACGCGACTTTGTGAAAATTCATCAACTGTGTATTTCTTTGTAGCTTCTCTGTATGTCTATTACCCTTCAATAAAAAGTTTAATTAAAAAACACTGCTTCTTCAAGATCAATGTTTACAAAATGCTGAGTTTGACAAGACAGATGCAAAATGAAAAGCATAAGAAAAGTACTCGAAAGGGTTTTAAGAAATTAATTCTCAGAGTATCAACTTGGGCCAAATTAAATAAATACTGCCTTTTATCTACACACCATCCAGCATTTTCACAGCTTCACACGTTTAATACATGTCAGTAAGACAGTTAAGGGCACATATTATCATGCTTTTATGGACCTAGTCAGTAACATCTATCTCATATTTTCAAGGAACGACACATTTTAGAGTAAAAAGATGAAACCGTTTATGCACTAAAATGTTTAAATTTTTAACTATTTTGAATAGAAATATGGTGGTTTTAAAAGCGCTTATTTATTTTAATAATATGAAAATAAGTATTACTTGCCTACTATTATGCACATAGGTTATTACACTGCACTGTCATCTGCAACATCCTTAGGGAGCTGCTGTGGACTCAAAGGCTCAGGTGGTCCTTACACTGCCCTGCCCCCTGGGCCATGGTTCCTGGATCCCCACTCTGCCTGGCTCAGTGATGTTAAGGGCTTCAGGGTTAATTGTCCCTACATTAAATGACTGCTAAGCCTCCAGCCTGTTACTTCCCTCTGCAGTAAATGATCTACTTCTACCCCACTCCCACTCCTCATTGTTACCTTGAACATTCTAAATCCTTCAAATTTTGTAAATTCCTCTGGTTAGAACTTAAGAAAGAACTGAAGGCTTTCCAAGGAAACCAGGTCATGTAGCTTATTAAGTTGATAACCTTATTTCGTTGTAAAAGTATGTATTTTGGGGTGGATTATTTCCTTTCTACTCAGCAATTTTTTTGCTTCTTTCATTCTTCAATGAGTTTTCACTGAGCTCTAGGGATATGGTGGTGAATAAAACAGACAGTCTCTTCCCTAATGGACCTTGTAGTCTCATCCTATTTCCAGCCACAGAGCTTTTCGGGTTCTAGAATCTGGATAATAGAGAAACTGAGGCAGGGATAAAGAGAAATCGTGTTCATTCCTAAAACTCAGTTTAATGCTCCTTCTCTCTTAAAACACTCTTCTTAAGACCATTTCCAGGCTGAAGAGCTATTTCAGAAGAGGCAGAGTAACATCACACCTTAGGGCTGAGTACAGAAGGGATATTTTTCTCTCCCTATGTCCCTTCCTAGTAAAGACCTGGGGAGGGAGGAAGAGAAACAATTGTTACAGAAGGAGAGTAAGACATTTTCCTTCTCTTTGGTTTTAAGTGAACACTAGTAATGGTAGAGTTTACAGCTTGGGAAAATCTATTTTTCCCTGTGAGGGCTCCATCTGTTTGGGAAGAACATTAGAAGACAAAGAAGGAAGAGGACCCAGAACAAGCCCGGGGAAAGCGAAGAGGGATGCCTGGAGCAAGAGGATTTAAGGGAGACAGGAAATGGAACCTGCCATGCTGTACAGCACATTCACAACACCAGGACAGCCCTGTTCAGAAGTCAAGAAGAATCTGTGTGGGGCTGGAAGGGCCGCTTGTGTTATTTTGGAGAACCTGATCAAGGGGGTAGGCAACTGCTACAGCCTCAGCTTCCTATTCAAGAGGCAGCACCAATTTTTTGTTTGTTCCAAAATAATTCCCTATCAATGAATTGTAGACATAAAGAATTAAAGAAGGGAAGGCAAAATAAAGAGATGGACCTCCTCCCACTCCATTTTCATTTAGGAGTATTTAACCACTTTGCTTCCTTTCTTTTTAATGTGTTATTTCTTTAATTTGTGCTATTTTACTCTGACAGTGTCACTGTCTACTCTCACAAGATAGAAACTGAAAAGGGATAACACACAAGTGAGGCATCACAAAGCACACGGAAAGAGTCTGAGCTTCCCCGTCTCACCAACACACCCCGTCCCTCTAGAGGCAAGAGAGGGAGAAGATTTAACTAGATTGTTAAAACTCTTTTACGAGCAGTATACAGTTGTTCTTGTGTTGTAAACCATGTACTCTATGAGGGGAGAGGGGACCTTTCAATTATGCAAGGGGCAAAAAAGGCTAAGTTAAGCGAAAATCTCTACCAAGTTAAAACTTCCTTCTCAACTGGAGTGGCAAATGGCTATCAGAATCACGTAAGGAGGTTTTACAAAATACACAGGCCCCACCACGCTGGGACAGAAGAAGAATCAGTAATACATTTATTTTGGTATTTCTCCTCAGGTAATTCTGATAAGCTTCTACGAATGGTGAAAATTACTGAGTTAAAAAAATATACCAAATTCCCAAAGCGAAGCTAGTCAATAAAAGAGATCTAAATATTTAACTTAAAGAATAACAGAATGATTAAATGAATATAAATTTAGATAAAAATATTATTCCCCAGTCTATAAGCAATTAACCTAGAGAAAAGACAGGTTACACTCGTTCAGTTTCATCTGATGGAGGCCCAAGGATTCTTCGGGCACTACTTCTCTCACAGCATGAATGCTGGCTCAGTACTTCCCCTAAAAGCGTCACACTCAGCGGCATTTGCCAAAAAGAATTTATGGGGGTGGAAATGAGCATTCAAAAGCAATAAATACTCTTTAAAAATTCTTACTTCAAGAAAAGTCATTAAATTCATATCATAAATGTGAAGGTGAATGCTGAAGATTAACAATTAATTGAAAGAGTATTCT